AGGGTCAGTCAGTCTGCCATAGATAAGTTGGTAGCCTTCCACCCAGAAAGCCTCCTATGTACATTGTCCAAAATGTACCTATAGTATCTTTAGTAATCCTACCATGCAAGAGAGGAACCCCCAAGTACGTACCTAGGTTATTAGAAACCTAGAACCTAAAAATAGAACTAATATGGGAAACCTCCTAATCAGCAACATTATGGGAGAAAAAGATGTGCGTCTTGGACATGTTGATCTTGTGGTCGGAGCTCTGGCAGAACTCGTCAAGCATCCTCTTAATAAAGTGCATCTTACAATTGGAGGTCTCATTAAAAATGATTAGATCATCAGCAAAGAAGAGGTGCAAAAATTAGGAGCCCCCTACGCTCAGAGTAATCGGTCACCAATTGCCATGATGGACTAACTGATCGATGTGTTGAAATAAGCGCTCTATGCACAAAACAAAGATATACAGTAAGAGAGGGTCACCCTGCCAGATGCCCTGTGAGGGGGTGAACTCCTTTGTGGCTACACTGTTCTAGAGGAGTTGTATAGAGCCGAAAGTGATGCAATGCATGATGGTCTAAATCATAGTATGGGGGAGGCCAGCATCATAGAGGGTTTCTTCAACGACCCCCAGCTGAGCTTATCGTAAGCCTTCTCCAGATCCACTATAATCGCCATTTAACTTGTCTTCCGTTTCTTGCACTTCATCGAGTAAATAACCTCATACACTATGATAATATGATCTGAGATACTCCGACCCTCGATGAAACTTGCTTGTGTTTTGTTAATCAGTCGAGATACAATTTTTTTGAGTTTGTTAGCAATGACCTTGCTGATAATTTTGTACGAGACATTGAACAAACTTATAGGTCGGAAGTCTTTTATAGACTTGGGACTATCCACTTTAGGAATCAAAGTAATTAAGGTTTTGTTCTGGCCAGGCTCTAATTCGTCGCCTTGAAAGATCCCAATAGCCATGGTACAGACCGAGTCGCCAACAACATCCTAATAATACTGAAAAAAGGCAACATGCAGATCATCCGACTCAGGTGCCTTGAGGGGTTTTATGACAAAAAGGCTCCCCAAAATCTCCTGCCTAGTGACGGGCCTACTCAAAACGATGATACTGTCAAAGCTGAGAACTGGGAACCTACCCCGAATAGCGAACATAGGACTATCAGGAGCCTCCTTGCAATATAGGTTCTGAAAGAATTCAATGGCCATGTGGCTGAACCAACTCTCGTCCGAGATCCAATTTCTCATCTCGTCCTGGAGTATAAGAATCCTACTGTATCGTTGCCTAACCATCATCCGCGCATGGTAATAGGTAATATTCTTATCCCCTAGAGAGATGAACTCACACATTGACTTCTGCATTTAATAGATTTCTTTTTGTAAGAGGAGCACCTCTAGCTCATGATGGAGAGATGCCTCAAACCTACTCAGATACTCAAAGGAGGAATATTCAAGAGCCTTCTGAACTCTGTTGATACGAGCCATAAGCTGCCTCTTCCAATGGAATATATTACCGAACACCATAGTGTTCCAAGTCTTAGCGTGGTGAGAGAAGTTATCCATAGTGGCTTAGAACGAAGCACCACCTTCCCATCTTCTTTGAATAAAAGTAAGAAACCTTGGGTGGGTAAGCCGAGCAGCAAGGAAGCAAAAAGGTGGGGAGCTCGGCATATGGTGCATCCTAGAGCAGATGAGAAGAGGTCTGTGATTAGACTGGATCTTAGGAAGGTGTTTTACGAAGGAGTCCAGAAACTTGTCAAGCCATGAGGAATTAACGAGGGCCCGATCCAGGCATTAGAGTAGAGTTCCCACATTGCTAAGTGAACTTAAATCCCATAAAGTCGAGTTGAGATAGGCCATTGTGATCGATAAACTGGGAGAAGAAAGAGCACCCACCATTACAACTAATGGCTTCATCTTGTTTATCAGACCCCTTAATAATCACATTGAAGTCCCCAACAAGTAGCCATGAATCCGGGATCGTACTACTAAGCTAAGAGAGATGAGACCATAGGTATCGACGCTTCTGTGAATGGGGACGCCCATACCCAGTAGTAAAGAGAACACCTGGTTCACTACTGTTGTAATGAATCCGGGTATGGATAAAGTGGACATTATTCACCAGGATCTCCACCCGAACTAATCATTCTAAAGAAGCAAAAGACCCCCAGTGAAACCATGGGCTTCCACCCTATGAGAAGAATTCGAACCAATACGACCAATGATGTGATCCGCTTTCTCCCCCAAGATGCGCGACTCCATCAAAGTGAGTATCGACGGTCTGTGTTGCCGAGTTGAAGAATGTGGCTGACTTTGGGATTAGCCGCACCTTGACAATTCTAAGTGAAAATTCTTAAATCCATAAAAAACTTAATAAAAAGGACAAAACCCTAACACAAAACGAAATCAACCGTCAATAACGGCGTGGCTGGCCTCTATTTTAGTTGTCGTCAGACCGTTGACCACACTTGATCCTGCATGCGCACAGCCCAAGAGCTCTGCTGCCAAAAATGTCATCGCATCCAAGGCTTCCTCGCGCTGTTTCTTTACCTTATGGTCATGGCGTGATGTTTTGCTCACCTAGATGCCTAAGCATCGCCGATCCAGGAGCCAAACTATCCTCTGGGTGCGGGAGTTTGACAAAGGACCGTCGGCCTCCTTGATTTTGGCTGGGTTGACTTAGAAAATCATCACGCCTCGGTATTCAATCTGAATAACTGAGTGCTTGGTCAGGTCGAGGAGGGTTGGACCCTGATAGATCGAGGGTGCTGGGTCTGGACTGACTGGAAGGCCCATATTCCCCTCACTAGGCCTACCCGCAATGGGCTGCTTAGTCCCAGATGCTCCATTCATTACTGGGCCTGAGCCATCGAACGTATTACAAGGGCTCTGTCCACACAGAAACCTAGCCCCCCTCGACCTTACCTCCTTCTATTTCCTTCTGCCTATTTAAATCGTGTTCCTCATCTACCACCCTCTCATCGAGATTGCCCAAATTTTCTCTCCTCTGTTCATCAGCATTAACACCCCCTAAGGATAATCCCTTCAATTTCGCATGCAAATCAACATTAATATTATCTTCTTCTACAATCTCTGCAATCAACTTAAAATGAGATCCTAACCCATTACAGTCGGCAAATCTGGGGCCATTCCTTTTCACATAGTCGTTTCCTTTTTTATTGCTCCTCCGTCCTTGCCTTATCACCTGTATCCAATGTCTGAATTTTTCTCCTTCTGCTGTTGGCTAAGGCGACGCAGACTGATTCCTTCCTTCTCCTCGAGTGGCTTTATTAGCCGGGTCTTCTGTAGCTTTCCTCAGGCAGTGTTATCAAAGGTGGCCGTAACAGTCGCACTCAAAGTAAATCGTTGGAAGCCCTTCATATTCCACCCTCTGAAGGTGCCCCTATATCCAAATTTTAGAAACCAGGGGCTTGGTCAGGTCCACTGAGACGGCCAGACGCATAAACTTCCTCCTCTTCGTCGACTTTGTGTTATAATCAATCATCACCACCGAACCAACAGTCCTGACAATGGCTCTCAACCCCCTTTGTGGTAATATTGGATAGACAGCTTTGGAAAACGAACTCAGGCGACCACTGAAGTGAGACGTTCATTATCGATTGAGAACGAGGCCGTCCATGGTTGCAACGTCAAGTAGTGCCCATAGATGACCCAAGGGTGCCCGATCACTGCATGTGAGTAATCACTAGGATCAGTAAATTTCACAAGATATAAATTATTCTCAAGATTAACCAGTTGAAATGTTCCCGCAGGCCGCCAAAGGCTTTGAAGGTGGTTGAGAAGAGGTCGGTAGCCGATGGCTCTGCCCAACAGACAAACGACTGCCAAGTTCCTCATGGATTGAGCCTGGTAATTTTGGACCCTATATGAGAATGCCATTGTCGGATATTCTCCGGCCGAGGCTAATATCACATCCTCTTCTTTAATTTCGAAGTCGAAAGCCTTACTCTCCGCCAGTTTTACATTAGTAAGTTTGTCTTTGAAGGACATCCGATTGCTTTCCCAACGCTAGTAAAGTCCCCCGCTTTGCTTTCCATCCTCCGATTATGTCAAATCCATGTCACTAGTCTCTTCCACATTCTCGCCTAAGGTTGTGGCACAAACGTCCTCCTCCGCTGATATCTTCCAATTGGGATGTTCCTCTATTCTCACT